GTGCTTCCTTCCCTATGGGTATATTTGGGGAATATGCAATGAAGTTGTATACAAGAATAAAGATGCATTATACCTGTCTATAGCACAGCAGTCAGGACTACATGTTCAAAAATACAATTGCTGATGACATATTAATATTTCATATATCATTTGACCATGGACACTATTTGACAAAGTAAACTAGAGGGTGAGAAAACATGAAAAAGGGGCAACATTGAGGTAGCCACAGAGAAAGAGAGAGAAAGAGACAGACAGACAGTGGGGGAAGATGGGAAGGGGAAGATGGGAAGGACAGACAAGTATACATTATACTTGTAGGGGGAGAGGAAGGGGTAGAGAAAGAGAAATGAAAGAACGTACTGAAAGAAAACGAGTACAAGATAGACAGAGAATATGAAAGAAAAAGAAAGAACAAGAGAAAGAGAGAACAAGAGAAAGAGAGAACAAGAGAAAGAGAAAACAAGAGAGATAGAACGATAAAGAGAAAGAGAGAGAAAGGCAAAGAGAGGGATATACACTGTAGAGGGACAGACAGACAAAGAGAACGAAAGAAAAGGAGAGAGCTAGAGGGTGATAGAAAGAAACAGAAAGAGAGCAAGAGAGAGAGAGAGAGAGAGAGAGAGAGAAGGATCAATAGGATAGCCAAAGACAAAGGGGAGGACAACGTAATCGCCCACGAGACAAACCAAACCCAGATCATGACTAGCTCTAACCAACGGTGACCTCATAATCAGAGCCTAAAACCAAGTCAAGCCGAAGTGTTATTGGGCATGGAATTGACCCCTGGCTGTGTGGGAAAGAATGCCAGTCTATAGTACTGGTATACGATACTGTGCATAGGTTTGTTGTCATAACATCACCGTGCTGAATAAAACACAGCTGATTGCCCTGCCCAGCCCAGGTCTGTTATAAAGGCCACGAATAGAAGTGCTCAATTTCTCCGTCCATTATATCATTACATGTATACTGCACGCTGGGATTTGATTGTATTACATGTACTTGATATTGTCATATTGCCTCATATTTCATAACTGATGTACATGTTGACTCTCGATCTCCCAAAGAGATCTCTTCTCCATACTAGCATTTTGATTCTTCTTTCATTTATGATCGTGTTACACGAGTGGCTTGCTGATGCTCATATTTCAATATCAATGGTATTTCAATCTCAATAACTGAATTCAAGATTCATAAACAGAAGAATACAAACGAAAAGGAGAATACTTGTGATAATTTTGTTGAGTATGATGCCTACTACTAGCAGATTTATAGCTACATATATATCTATCCAACTACTTTTAATGATACAAGGTACATGTATATTGATTTGCTAATTATAATATTAATTTTCTTACTTCTAAAGAACAATACAACATTAATACCTTGACGATTGATCTACAGTTAAATTTTAATTCAATTTGATATCAAGTGCTTCGATGTCTGTATAGGTTTTAACAATTATAATCTTATATAGTAGGCTTGCGACTGCACTACATGCATGTGAGAGAGGGTGGGAGGGTTTCAGAAAATCAATTGATTACTGTGAAAAATACTCCATTTATAATTTTGATATCATAAAAATGCTTGTATGATAAGCCTACTGTATACCTTATTAACAGGCTACATGTCTGTTGGATTGAACATTTTGGTTGGAAATTCAACAAACAAATATGAGAATTAGAACAATTAGAAAATAAGAGGGACAGGCATGTGGGGGGGGGTACATGTACATGTACATGTACAGCACAGTATACATGCATATTCACCCCCCCCCCCCAGTACCTCAACAAAATTAGCATCCAAGAAGCTGATAAGAACCCCTACAAAATGACTGTATTCATAGACTACTGTACGTAGAAGTAGAAGATATCAATTGCAAGAATCTATTTTCAAGACCACACAAGGTACTTTCAAGTTCATGGGCACTCTCTTTGTTGCTGTAAGCACAGACACACATCAGAGCCCACAATATACAGATATAGGAGAATGCAAGATACTTTCTGTTCTCTCATTTCTTTTGTTGAGGCTGCAGATGCTTGCAATCAGTAATCACTGAACATTGATTTAGTGCAGTTTGCTTCTACCCCTAATCTTCTTCCTAAATATCACAGTATTTTTTTATAAACATGTCCATATACATGTACTTAAAATGCAGGTTTGATGATGCCCTGTTTCCATGTTATGATTCAGTATAAACTCAATGTGAATTAAGTCAAAATCACCCCCCCCAAAAAAAAAAAAATAAATAAATAAATAAATAAATAAATAAATAAAAATAAATAAATAAATAAATAAAAGAAATAAAAAATAAATAAATAAATAAATTTAAAAAAAATTTAAACAAATATTTTGAAAAAAATAATAAAAATAATAATAATAATAATAATAATAATAATAATAATATCAATAATAATACAAAATAATGAAGAAAGTAAATACAAATTCACTTTGAAAGAAATTGCAATTTCCAGATCAATATAATTTTGCAAGACTTTTTTAAATTGCAATCTACAGTACATATTGCACATAATTGAGGAAGATTGTAATAAATACTGTACACTTATAATAGGGCTCCCTACTAAGATTTTGGAAGAGGTACAGATTGAATTTTTACAAAAAAATTGGGGGTCAAGACTTTGGATTTAGGGCACCCAAGCGTCTCAAGCACCTGTCAATGGTGAAGCCCTATTCATAATGAATGGTGTGCAAACATTTACATGTACATTCATTTGAATGCAATTCACATTTATTGCCTTCGCAATTTCCAATATAAATCAACCTTTAAAGATGACCTTTCCATTGAAAAACTTCCTCAATGCTCCCTGCTGCCTTTGTCTACAAATCTCTTTGATCCCATACTTCAGTTCCCACATTGACTTCCTACTCATTCTCTCAGCCCCCTTCCCCCCCCCCCCCCCCTCCCCCGGCACTACCGGTACTTTCTTGATACTAGCTTTATCCCCTGCTCTTTCAATATTCTAACCCTCCCCCCCCCTCGATTTCACAACCCCATTTTGCGCGATACAATGCACATTAGTGGTATTTAGCCCTGCGGTAATTCACAGTTTAAGCTACACCATCGCATCCCCTTCCCCCTCAAAAAGGGGAATACCATATCATTATAAAGAAACAATGAAAATACAAGAAGTAAAATGAACTTTTAAAACAAGATGTAATTATTGTAGGAAATGTCATTTTAAAACAAACAACATTCAACAATCATCCAGATTTTTAAAAATGTGTGATTGCATGCACAATTATTAAACTCAATTCATGTAAATATATCATATCAAAACAGCAAGTTGACCTTGAATCTGTCTCAGTTTCCAAACAGATACCAAACATCCTTTTCCCTTAATGGAGTTTTTATGTTTTGATGTGCATATTCACTCACATTCACACAGAGAAAACCTCACTATATAATATAGTTATCCTACATAATAGGCACTACGCAGCTCTCCGTTGATTGAGTATTGATTTGAAGTATGGGATAGTTTAGTATACATTTTGATAATTTATGATTCTGTCCTAGAATCCCTTTACCTACCCATTCTTCAATCAATGTTATCTACATATCTACACACACATACTTGTGCATCTATATTTACGATTTACTCCAATTACAATTGCAGTGTTACTAACTTGCCAAGCCTTCTCAAAACAACCTAATCATTCAAAATCAAACACAAGGAGCATTCACACTGCGAGCAAAAACCCAGATTTTTATTTTTCTCACATTCCAGAGTTCCATTGGAAGTTGCTAGGCAACTACCCATAGACAAGATGAAAAATCTGAATAAACAAGGGAAACGCTCTCGGCGGTCTCGCCTGCATAACCGATTCAATATGATAAACCAGAACGTCAATGACGTAGCACTCATCTGCATTTGCAACAACAAATATCGTAATTTTTATGTGGTACACTTTTGAACTGGTCAAAAAATAAAAATTTGATGCCCTGGAAGGGACATAATTTCATTTCATTTGCATAAATTACCATAATTAATTAATGGAGAACAATTTCAAAATTCTGTGTGGAAGTTTAGTGTACCAAAGTTAGCTCTACGATATAAAGCAAACCAAATCAAAATCGGTCGAGAAATGAAGGAGAAGAAGCCTTTTTTTGTGATTTCGAATAAATTTGCATAAATTAGCATAGATAATGAATTTCACGATTCTGTGTAGAAATTTTAAATCCCCCTCCTCAGAATCAAAATCGGTTGAAAAATAACGAAGAAGAAGCATTTTGAAAATCTTGATGTTGATGCCACAACAAAGTCTAAGTATGTTGACCTTAAATGACCTTTGACCTTAACTTAGTGACCTCAAATTCTACTCACATGATTGGGGAGACTATAGTCCAACCCTATAGTCCAAGTTTCATTGACTAAGAACTTATACTTTCAAAATTATATCAAAAATTCAAAAACTTAACCTTAGGTTAAGTTTTCGATGATGATGCTACAACATAGTCCAAGTCTGTTGACCTGAAATGACCTTTGACTTTGACTTTGTGATCTGAAATTCTACTCACATGATTGGGGATACTTGATTTACCCTATAGTCAAAGTTTCATTGACTAAGAACTTATACTTTGAAAATTTTATCAAAAATTCAAAAACTTAACCTTAGGTTAAGTTTTTGATGTTGACGCCGCCGTCGCCGTCGCCGCCGTCACCGGAAAAGCGGCACCTATGTCTCGCTTTTTGCTACGCAGGCGAGACAAAAAACCCACCTCTAGAGTGTGGATTTTTTAATTCCTGAGGGGACTTGCCTCAAAACACTGGTGAGTTATTCCGTATTTCGTTCGTGTGACGCTCCTCACTCCCATGCTTTTGCATTTCTATCGCATACAGAGCAAGTGCACTTCACTACTCACAAAAACAACAACAGAATGAGCAAACACAGACATTTTTTCATGTGTATTTCCAACACACGTACATGGTAGTTTTTAAGAAAACAATGGTTTTTCTGCAATGCAAATAGGCCTTCTCACTCACCTCGCTGAATTCTCCGGTCATGATGTGTGACCTGAATTTGGCCGCTGAATCATGCTCCAGCCGACAGCCTGATTCCCTCATCAAAAGATCAACAGTCTTCCTGTGATGGGCAAAACAAACAAAGGACTTCTTTCCTTAAATTGAAACATCAGAAAATGCAAAAACTGTTTAAAGGTGCATTGAACTAGATACATGTACATTACATGGGGGATATAAAGCTGGGGAAGTCCTTTATCCCATACATTACCAACATCATCAAATTTTGTAGTAACAAATTCTAGTTGATAACCCTGTTAATACCGGATCATACCAAATACCAAGTACATCACAATTATAAGCAATCTTAATTTTTGTTCAGTTTTGTTTTATATTCTTTGAAATGTATGGGGCAGCACGTACTTACTATTGGACTTGCCCATTATGAAAATATTTACCATGAATTATGCATAAATCTATTTTAAGCTGCTTAACAAAAAGTATTGAGAGAGAGTTTCAGAGATTTGTTTTTACAGATTGTTTACATTTACAAATGTTTGTTTTTGGAATGAGTCTCATAAAACACTAAACACCTAAACAAATTTGTTTAGGACACACATTAATGTGTTACATGCACATGGTTCTATTTGCTCCATGTATTTTCATGTTTCAAGCACTTCAGATGGATATTTTGTCACAGCACCTGAAATGGCTTGCTTAGACCTCTGTTTTATCTGATCATGGAAGTAGTACTTGATGTCATGGTGAGCTGCCCCTTTAAACGATGAGGTCTACATACAGTGTATGTTACTTCATGTATGGAGCATTTATGAACAAATATACATTACAAGCAGAGGATTACGCGAGCTTATCTCTTTATGTCACTTAAAATACTATGAGAATTGCAAGTAACCATGCATGTACATGAAATAATAATCAAGAAAGAACATGTCATCTGCTGCTTTCTGATTTTTAATCTGCGTGCTGAAATGCTTTTATCAGCGCACACCTTAGATTGCAACGCATGTATGCATGAATGTACATGTACATGTACATGAAGTGTGTGTAAACTTGTACTGCAGGACCTTCAAGTACAATGTACGATGTAGAGAGCATACATGTACAGTGTATTATATCTAGGGCACTGTGACGTCCAGTCTTTCATGATCTCAAATTGAGTCACAGTTAGCCAACTGCCAAGTCTAATCGCTACGACACAATCAATGGGAGGGGTGTAGTCTCAAGGCACAGACACTTAATTGACCCTTTACTACAATCCCTAAAAAGCCTTGAGCAGAGCCTATACCTCTGTCAGTCTCTGGCTATGCCAAGCTTAAGTACAGAGGCCTATGCAGGATGGTGTCAGCCTAGTCTTACAGTGCAGACACTGTTACGAAGCATGGAGACTGGTTAGGGTTTGAGCCTGCAAACCAAAGACGGCTTCATTTCTAGACAGAATCTATCAGATCTTTGAGTCATCACAATGACTCGGAGGAACTACCAGAATGTTACTAAAGGCAGTGCATGAAGACATCTTTTACACCACCAAGCTTGTCTGAAAGTTAAGATTAAGATCTGGCATGACATATTGTAATCATGTGAAAGACCTAAAGTATAATGTGAAAGAAAAATAGTCTCTACTTATACCCCCCTCCCCCCCCCCCCCCCTAAGTTTTCTATCTGTTTTTCTTTTACAATGTTGATTTATTTCCCATTCTTTGATTCTTTGTCTCTTTGTTTCTCTCGTCATTCTCCTGCTTTTTATTTTTCATCATTTCATATTACATTCTGTCAGATCTTGGTGCGTTCCTGTTTTTTTTATGCACTACATGTAAGTATTTGCAAAAAAAGATGAAATTAATAATGTTCAAGTTAATATCATATGATATTCACACAGTATACAACACCCACATGAACACTAGGTGAGAGCAATAAAAACAAGTCCTAGAATACACTGAGTTTTTAAAAAAATATTAAAAAATTGACATTATTGTCCAACTCAAATCTGCACATACACATGTACATGTACACCCTGTACTTGAATACATTCTTGCACCTTATTCAATATACTGGTAGTGGATTTTTTTAAAAGAGATTCTTAATCAGCATACTCCAATTCAATGCCTGCAATACAAATTAAGTACATGAACATACTGTACATGTACATGTACGTAGTCAACTACAGTTGTGTTTTGAAATATATGAAATATATGAGTGTGATGTCCATTTCAACAGATAATACATAATCTACATGTATAAATGTAAGCCAGATGTGGGCCTACACAAGGAAATCACTTCATATAAACAAGGAAAGTTCTCTTTACAAACTATAGCCTATGGGTTGTTTTGCTTTGTTTATGTTATGTTTTGGAGTGGAGTGGAGTGGAAATGGTTTTGTTGAAGGGAGGGGGGGGGGGTAGCATTGTTGAAATGTACACCAAATAAGCAGAGTGATCGATACTGACCATAAATCTTGTACAGTTTGCCTTTATCACAATTTAGTCTATTTCTCTTTAAAAATCAATTATGGGTATTATGCCTTAACCTTGGTCATCACCAGTTTATGTTCCGTTGTTCAATATCCCCTCAAAGAGTTGGCATCATATTAATAAGGGATAATACAGTAGTATATATGCAAACCTTTTGTGGAATGCTGTATTTATACTGACATTATACAAAACATCATATATATTTTCAAAAACATAGTATATTTAAACTATAACTTTGGTGCCATATTTTTTTCCGTAAGATAAAGAAGGGAAGAAAATAATGAGCACAAAAGAAAAGCAGGAAAGGGATAATTATCAAAAAAGGGAGTGGCAACTGATTTGCTGTAAAAACATCAATTCAAAACAAAATTTAAAAAGAAGAAAAGGGTGGAGATGGCACACACCAAACTCACAACTGATGGATTTAATTTATCTTCATGAAATAATAACAGCACTATATATCAGCAACCTGATTTAAAAATAATTCCCCCTTAGAAGATCATCATGTTAGTAGATCTGAATGTAATTTTGATTTTTGTTAATGGTAGTTTCATGTACATGTATTTTTCTGTCATTATTCATTGGAGCAATGTCTTCGAAATTGCTTTAGTTTGTTGTTTTGCCGTTTTACTTTTCACTGAAGTGGAATAAAATAATTGTTGTATTTAACTTCAAAGATATCTCATCTACTCTTCAAGAATAAACATACATGTAGAACTTTCTTTTGGAGTGTTTTTTTTTAATGTGTCATGAGTTTGTCATGAATTTTGACTTGTACCTTCATGTACTGTACACTACAGAATGTAGAACAGCCGTTTTCATGAATGCCTTCCATGATCTTAAAACATTCTACACAAGTACCTTGTTACAAGCCTTTTTAGAGAGCCTTTTTAGAGAGGCGTTGTTCCCCATGATTCTTTATATATTCATGTCTACATGTGTATGGAACTTACAACAAAGAATTATGTACAACTTACATTATGTGTACATTGTACAGGTCTGCATCTACATGTAAATATTGCAGTGAAGTCAATTGATCATTGGATATTTCATATGTAGCTTTATAAATTATCTTGTTATATTATCATGGACAAACAATTTAATTTTGTGATCAAATTTATTTACCAGAGTATTTGACTTATAGGGCAGTTCCTTTGTGTGGCTTTACTTGTCTAGCAGAAATCCCAGCTGTTGTTGTTGTGTCTATTTTTGAGAGGTTTGGAATTACTTTTACAGCTTTTCTTTCATTTATTAAACGATAAATTAAAAACTAGATTTACTCCTACAAAATTTTCCTGCATGCATGCAAATGAGTAACCTGCAAGGAGCACATTTGAATACTGTTTTCACTAATATGTGGCGTCATTAGCTCATGCAGAGCCATTGTGTATTTGCGATGAAGTAAAGCTGTCCAAAATATAAGCCTAAGTAATAACACTTTTTACAGTAGACGAATTACCAAAAGCCATTTGGTCTGGAATTAGTGCCGAGACATTATCCGGTGATATGCGCTTTACAAGAACAAAATATCATTATTCTTAGGATTAGGATTATGATTATAATATTAATATTAATATTAGTAGTAGTAATGGTAGTAGTAATATCTGCATTTGTACATCTTATGTAGATGAAATTATCCTTTCACTATAGCGAGATCGATCACAGACAATTTTTTAAGTTACAAAACATCACATTTTTCAGACAAGTTGATCACACAATCTGATGAAGGTTAAAAATACAACCACTCGAGAATAGATCCACACATGGTACATGAACATACGACACAATTTATGTTGAAAGGGCAGCTGTTAAGGTGTTAGCCATGTTGTTAACTCTGTTGTTGTCATTATCGGTTGTTTGTAATTCCTGTTAAATTATCCCAGACAGCTGCACTTACGTGTAGCCGAGTCCCATGAGATGCTGGCCAATCAGGCGAACTATGTCCCTGTCGCTGGGCGAGAGCTCGGTGGCACTCGCCTTCGACCCAACTTCCTCCTCAAAAGCAGGAGAAGAGGATCCATTGGAATGGTTTGTAGCTCCAGCAGCTCCGCCGGGTCCAGTCCCGTTGCTACTGTGCGGGAGGGTGTCTCCAGTTCCATTGTGTGCCACGGCGGCCGTACTCGTCGACGAGTCAACATCATTGGCTTGCATTGCACTGGCAGCAGCTACGCGTTGTTTCTTTGCCGGTGGCGGAGACAACCCACCGCTATCCGAGTCCGATGATGAGGCCAGAATTGCGACGAGCAGGACGCTGTAAACGAGCCAGCACAAATAAGCAGGAAATCAGGACAATTTTTGTCTTCCTGGATCGCAAGCCTGTGGCCCGTTTCCGTCATATAATCGGTGCGAAAATCTCACATAAGCCCTGTTCCAGCCTCACTTGATCTGTCCACTCAATCCAGCTGTACAATGTTATGAATGACGTCATTTTTCTTTATTCTTTCCAGTCCCTATTCATTTTAGTTCAAGAGGGGGCGGTGGACCTAATTTATGAGCGAGTGTGTAATTTATGATACTTCGCAGTGTGGTAGTAGAATGGGGGGGGGGGGGGGGGGGGGGGGTATTACTTTCGTCATATAAAAGTACACAGTGAATCAGCATATCTACAGAGGCGTGCATGTATTTCTCTCTCCTCCTTGTAGACCAAATACATGTAGGCTACATTTATATCATCTCAATTCCTTTATCACCAAAAAAGTATTATATGATGAAAAGATTCTTTCACTATTTTGGAAAATGATAGAGCAGTGGTTGAATCTTTAATTGCCCTACGACTCCATCTGAAACTCAATCGGTACCATAACGTAACCTCAAATTAATTATCTGTCAGGGATCCATTACACTCTCTCTGTATCTACTATATCAAAGCCGTTAGCCCATATCATTCACTTTTTGCACACATGATTATATTCAAATTAATTTTGTTTTCCCGTTTATAATCATTTCAACTCTGAAACATATACTAATGGTTCAATTAGTGAAAAAAGGATCGACCCTTCCCGGTCCCTCCCACATCGGGGGAGGGGGGGGGGGATAAATTTGAGAATTTTTCAATAAAGAATGATACATTAAAGTCTATGAAAAGGGGCGGCGGAGTGTGGGGAGGGGGCACCAACAAAAAGGGCAGATGAAGAAAGGCACTTGTGAGAAGGAAAATGTGTGCTTTAGAAAGGAAAAGGGTCACGTATCGAAGTTTTCTAAAAAGCAAAAAATATCAGAGACGAAAAGGGGGAGTCTCGCACCTAAAAAGGGGCACTCACCATAGATGAAAAGAGGCACTTTATTTGAATGGAAAATGGCCCTTATCGGAAGGAAAAGAGGCACTTTTTAGAAAGGAAAAGGGGCACTTGTCAAAGTAAAACGTGTACCTGTCAGATTGGAATGGGGGCATTTCTCAGAGGTGGTAACGGGTAATTCTCGTACCTGAAAAGGGGCACTTACTAGAGATGGAAAAGGAGCAGTTGTCGAAGGAGAAGGGGCACTTATCAGATCATAAACAGGGACGTTTATCAGAGGTGAAAAGGGGCACTCATCAAAAAAACAATAGGGGCACTTATCAGAAGGGGAAGGGGGCAATTCTCAGAGGTGGTAAGGGGTATTTCTTGTTCCTGAAAAGGGACACATATTGCAAAGGAAAATGGGCAGTTGGCAAATGAAAAGGGGCACTTATCAGAGGTGAAAAGGGTTTATGAAAAAAATTGGGGGTTAATGTATCAAACTAGGAAGAAGGGCACTTAATAAAAGGGGAAGGGGCAGTTCTTACAAAGGAAAAGATGGACTTGTCCTATGTATAAAGGGGGGGTTTGGTATACCTGAAAAAGTGGGAGCATTGTGCCCCCCTGCCACCCCCGGAGCGCCATCTCTGAATTTTCTTAAGTCTTTATCCCGCGTTAAAGGTACAGATGTCCCTACCTTCAATTGTGTTTTTCATCTGAAACAGTTTTGTTCAAACAATGTAGTTCAAGACACGTCTCTCCTCACTCCCTGCCCATATACAAGTATTAAATGAAAGGAAAAGAAAAGAAATAAAGAGAGGAGTAGAGAAGAGAAAAATGAAGAGGTGAGAAGAGAAGAGAAGAGAAGAGATGAAATGAAAAGAAGTTAAAGAAAAGAAAAGAAAAGAATGGAATAGAAAGAAGGGAAAGGAGGAAGAGGAGAATTTGTTTTTTTATTGACCTGAACATGTTTACCTCTGGCATTTTTTGCCTCTGATATTTTTACATCTATGGTGACCATGCAGACACATCATGCTCAATGTGCTCCCTTGTATTATATGCCAACAAAATATATTGATTGGTAGTTTGTTTTATCGCATCCTACCGGAACGTTTATAGGCCTATATTTCGATTTGCATGTCGTATGGCTCATTGTTTACAAAATACACTTTGTTCAACTGATAACTCTGCGTGATTGATTTTATTGAATGGCTGTTTGTGTCGTTTTTTAAGTTAGAAACTTTTTGTCCGGTTGTAGATCAAGAGATCTACAGATGCTATCTCCATATCGATATTGCGGTCCCCGTCTGCCACATCACACCGGTTCTCAAGGAACTATTGGTTACCCATAAAAGAGCACACTGTTTTCAAACTTCTTTTGCTTATGTTTCATCGTGTTCATGGCTCTGCTCCACAATACAATATTTCTTTGATTAATCACTACAGGCAACCGCCAGATTTTTACGTTTTCAAAACTCTGGATTGCTTGTTCTTCCAAAACTTAATACAAAGTGGGAGGCTTTTGCTCATGCCGGGCCATCACTCTGGGAATGTTTACCTCGAGTGATCAGAGATATTCCTACAGTAGAATCTTTCAAAAACAATATAACTCCTCTTTTCCAGTTTACTTTTAGTTGATCTGATTTTTCTTCTTTTTGTGCTATATTTTTGTAATGAAGGTGTGACTATAGACCTATATAAGACTTTAAAAAAAAAGTTATTTCAAACGAGATAAGCTATAGGTGAATTGAGTAACATTTAGTAAAATGATAGGAAAGTGAGAGGAAAGAGAGAGAGAGAGAGAGAGAGGGGAGAGAGAGAGAGAGAGAGAGAGAGAGAGAGAGAGAGAGAGAGAGAGAGAGAGAGAGAGAGAGAGAGAGAGAGAGAGAGAGAGGGGGGGGTAGTGGGGCATGCATGCGTGGCGTGATTTTAGTCAACGAGGGGGAGGGGGACACTTGCATCATGTGGGCGGGGGTCCAGTCTTGTAAATCATGTGAAAGAACAAGATTAGCAGTTGGGGTTGAAGGGTTCTTCCTTTACTTCCACATTCACTTTCCATACTCTCTTTTCTTACTATTTGTTTACTTTTCTATTCTTTTCCCCTTTTCACCTATCCAAATGGGGGGGGGGGGGGTGCGTGGTCCCTTTAGCAGCAATTTAGGGATATTCAGGAATGTTTTAGAAAGTATTCATATTTCAGTTTCAAAGACTCTAGCCTAGATTTAGATTTTATTTGACTCTATCGACCCCCTTCATGGATACGAGAGCACAACATATTTACAATACAATACAGAAAGATATATAAAACAAAGTAAGATAGACCTATAATAATAAAATATTGTTGTCCATGGCTTGCTGATAATTACACCGTTTGTTGTGTTTTAAGAAATGAACACCAGAGGGCAGCATTGAACTAGTAATTTGCAGACGACGAAGGTGTCAGATTTAGGTGAGAATTCAAGCCTTTTAAGGTGGATTCTATTGAAAAGTTACATCGCAGATCGTAATGTAGATATTCTGAGTAAATTTCTGTAATTTTGATATATGAGTGATGTTCGAAAAGTTATTATTTGTTGTCAAGAGCAAGATAGATAAAGAAATTTAGCGCACCGAGTGTGTTGCGTGGGCGTGACTGTCTGTTGTGTTGATGTGGCTGACGTGTAGCAGTGCACTGGCCTGGCTCACTCACTCACTGATCACTGATGACACTACACTAGTACCACGGTACTAGTCCCCCGCTGGTTCGCCCTCACTGCCGGGCACTTAACCTGCCCCTCTCGCACAAGTGCAGATTTATCCCTCGTTTAAGCTAGTTCTCTAAAAATTATTCTCTGTGAGTAAGTCTTCATAGAAAACTGTCTGCATGTTTGTTTTTACCTTTTATAGTTTTAGTCTACTTTGGAGATGATTTATAATCGGTGAAAGTGATTGTGACTTTTTGTGTAGTCTAATATCTAGATCTAGATCTATTTCATTTTAGACATGGATTCGGAAGTCACCCTCCTATTCACCGCAAAGTCGCCCCCTGGCATCCCCAAGCAGTTGGTCCATGTTGTGCTGAACCAAAACTACAACCGAACCATTCTACCAGAACATGAGGAACATGTGGAAGACATCTGGCAGCAGCGGCTGGCAAAGAACCAGCACCTCTACAACGGCTCCAAGTTCCGCTACCACAGCATCCAGGAGAACCCTGCAGACGGTGGAGCGACCTTTCACCTTGGTCTGACGGATTACAGGGAGTTCCAGACCACCAACTGGGCGCCCAACGCGGAGGAACTTCGGCAGCTTGGGAGCAAGGATATGGGGCAGAGTCAGGCCTACATGTCAGATCCCCTCGGAGTGGGATCATTTGTGTTGACAGCTGATGGATTTGTTGTCTTCATTAGACGAAGCAGTACGGTTGGTGAAGCAGTGGGATTGTGGGATATACCAGGTGGTCATCCAGAACCAAAGGTACATGGTCAAATCCTACCATTTCTAAAATAGATTTTGTCGATTGCTGCATGTTGTTTTTTCTTCTCTAGCTCTACATTTTTACTGTTCGATTGTCTAGGGCGATTGTTTTTTTTATATTTTACACACTGACTACCCTAGTACCTAAAATGATAAAAAACTTCTGATTCTTCTTTGTATTTTTGATATTTTTATCTTATTTTTTATTTTTTTGGAAGTGAACAGATAAGCAGTTAATTTGACTGGATTTGAGAGTACCATACATGCCAACTGTTCAGATTAAAGAGAAACATTCCTCTTTTTGGGAGAAGATAATTATCATTTTAATGCAGGTGTTCCTCTTCCTGTACAAATTTGTCTGTAGTATTGAATAGGAGAGTTAAGATTGTTCCTCTTTTTTGTGAAAATAGCATAATTTGTACAGATTTCTGATTTTCAAATGTTGGCATGTATGGAGTAAAGATAAATTGGAAACTTGTTGAAGAATTAAGAATGTTAATCATTGATCACTTCCTGTGTTAACTCCGTGCTTCGGTAATCATTCGAAAACACAGGAAGTGAAAGGAGGGTCATCCAAGTTGAACGACATGACCATAACCAACCTTGACCCCGCTGAGGTTGTGGATGAGATCTTTCAGTCGACCCTGAACGAGATACGAGATGAAATCAACATCCCACTGGAGCGCCTCAGTGAACCTGTTCTGATGGGCGTGGCACTCAATCACACCAGCTCCGGAAGGCCTAGCTCAGAGTACTTTGTGAGGTTAGGACTGCTGATGATCAATCAACTATACTATACTATATTAAAGCAGGATTGCACTACTTGTAGCTTCTTGTGCCCTCTGTATAGCAAACAATGCCTAAGCGGTACCCGTTGGTCCTCCATGATCCCCTTTTTCTTATCTTAATTGAGAGCTGATTTGATGAGATGACCACCTGTGAGTGACCACACAGGGAGGTCTAATCCCTCCTGGCTAAACTAGTGCAGATAGGCTTTAATATACTATATTTATACAGTACCTTACACCCCCCCCCCCCTGTGTTGTTTACTTCCATCCCCTCATGTTTGTAAAGCACATCTATCCTCAGTCGGGTTTCCATGCAACTAATATGTGACCAAGAATGCGTGTGCCCCATCTCCAATAAAGTATTTGTAACAGTTTTTGGAGAAGAATTCAAAATATAAGCATATCTATCCTTTCTTTCCACTTTCTACTTTCTACAGACAGGTTTAATAGCGAAGTGTAGGTATTCCAAGTTTTCCATAATCAATAGTTGTTGATTTATATTACCTGGACTGTAGACCTTGCATTTCAGAATTCAAATCAAGAAAGTGGCACATCTGTAGAAGATGTAAACAAAGGGATCTAGTTCATATACCTTTCTCATCCTATAGGATTCCTCCCTATGATGGCATTTTTTAAAGCATATTCAAGGGATATGCCACTTCTATGAACATTAGGAGAAACCAGTCTTGCATCTTCTACAGATATAGAACATTGATTAAGAGGTTTCTTCCTCTTTGCTCTTACTCTTTTAGAGACTCGTTATAAATGATTGGTAGTGTGGTTATTTCATCTATGTGCATAATAGAGTTGTAACAGGTATATATTTTTGACAGAATGAACAGATATTGCAGTCCATAGAAGAAACAAGAAATTAGGAAATCTTTAGAAGATGTAGAACAATTGTGAATTTCCTATCATTTTGGTGCTTTCTTTGTATGCAGGTTGAAGGATTTTCAAAGTATGCCACATTATTGTTGCTGTTCATTGCAAAATCTATCTCTGGGGTCTGTGAGAGATGAAAGTACATTGTAAAAAGTCAAAATGAGAAAGTCACACATCTTCAGAAGATTTGGAATAATTGATAGCTTTCTCTACGTTGCCTTTTCTCTTTATAGTCGGTTTAAAAGTCAAACCACAGTGATCTTAGAATTTCAAAGATATGATGATGATGATGATGATGATGATGATAATGATGATGATTTACATCCCATATTGCAAAATTAGAGAGGTACAACTTGAGAGGAAAAAGAAGAATGAAACTGATTTATACCCTGTTTCCCTCTCCATATATTTATTACATTTGGGGCTGGGAAATGAAATTTAGCCCATTTTATTTTATCTTTCTTTATAATTATAGAAAATAAATTATAGTGCGGTATGGTATGTAATCCTGTAGGATTTTTTTGCCAAAGTTGATTTTTGTTTTTGTGGCTGTTTTGGCTTCAAAAGGGTCCCAATTGGCCCCAAATGATGGGGTTCAAATTTTCAGACCCCTCCTTCATTTCCTGGGGGGTCCATATTGGGCGCCAAAATGGCATATATAACGCGCAATAGGGAAATTTGGTGTCTTCTGGAAAATTTGAACCCCATCAATTTCTGATAGCTTGGACCCCAATGAATCCAAAAATGCAACAAAAAAAAAAAATCAACTTTGGCACAAAAATCCTACGGGAGCTGTTTCAGTGACATACCGTACCACACTATTAGTTTATAACTTTAATTTATATTTCTTCAGATGTGACCTTCCTGCTAAAGAGGTGAAGAGGTTGTACCAGCTGGGTGGTGCGGAAGCAAACGAGTCTTCAAGCCTGAAGCTTGTATCAATCAAGGTTGGTAATATTGTATTACAACACTGCACAATGAAATCAGAAGATCCCTAGTCCAGGCACTAGAATTAACCGCCCCACTTTAATTTAGTAGTACAGTCAAACCTGCTTTAGGCCACGTTTTGTTTCTTTCCTTGAAAATTGTTTCTCCTTGAAACATGTACTAAATGAACCTGTACATAAAGACCACATGCCAGTAAAGATCACTGTTCTCGTCTCCCTTCAGTGGTCTTTGTATAAAGGTTTCACAGTATTTGACCATTTTGACCTCATGACTCAATCTGATACAGTCGAACCTCTTTTTAATGAGGTCCTTGGGACCATGGAAATTACTTTGTTATGTTAGGAATCTTGTTAAATCAGGGTAAAAAACAAGAGAATATCAAAAGCTGGGACCAGCAGAATCACCTTGTTAGTTGTTATAACCTGGACTTCAAAATCAAGATATCCACAAACTTGCATTTGCTCATTTCAGATCAACTATTTATGTTTTTGGAGCGAGTCTCCATTAGTCTGTCTTCCACGCAATATTGTCTGGGCATATTGTAAAAGATACCAAATTATTAATTTATTAGTGGATGTCCTGAAAACTTCCATTAAACTAAACTAGGGAGAAGACAGGAAATTAGTATCCCATGTTATATCTGAAATATTAATGATTAATTGCGTCGAAATATATGTATGTATGTGAATAATCTTCATTATTGAAGAAAGTGCTGTTTTTTATCGGTCCGAACAGGACATTCCATCGTTACCATCGTCACCCATGTGGGCAGAGATGTGTCCATCAGGGAAAGGCTGTGTCCTCCTCTACAACTCACTCATGCCTGATAGGTGATAGTAGGCAGGTCAAAGGGCATAGGTCAAGAACCTGCAATTGTGTGTGTGACCAATGTAAAAGTCGTAATTTTCTTCTTGTACAAAGTAGCAAGAAATGGACTAGCCGACTCTATTCATGTGCCAGATTTCCTCTTCTTCCAAGATGCCAGTTTAGCTGAAGGTGGTGGCTTTCAGTTGCCTTTTTGTTTCATTCTTGTTGGTTTGGTCTGTTTTTCTTTTTGTTCTTTACAGTTTAAGTATAGATTTTATATATTTTGTAAAAGAGTAGGTGTGAAAATACAAAATGTTAGACCTTTACCAAGCTAATCAATGGTATATGCCTTGAATTCTTAATGCTATTTGGGAACTTGAATGTGCAAATTTACAGTTTTTATTTATTAAAAGAAAACCTGCTTGTCTTTGGCAAGTTTTTCCGCCACCAATTAAATGAAAAAAACATACTACTGCAATTGTGTAAAAAATGTAATAATTACCATCAAAATAATGGTTGGTACAGAGATGCCAACTTTTGGAAATCAGAAATAGGGAGGATTTGTAATCGACACCAATTAATGTGCGCGTAGCGCACATCTCGAGCGCGTAGCGCCCGACACATGCGGCCGGGGTCCAGGGCCCGCCTTAGGGCCCTGGAAGCTCTGGGGTTCTAGATGCTCTCTGGTGCAATCTGAGCCTTATTTTGGAGCATTTTACATGTGTATTTAGTTAAATAATTCCCCCTTTTTTTTAAATAACATAAAAATTGTACAAAATGCATGATGAATTACTTTCAGACTTCCGATTACACAGGTACTTGATACTGTATTCGGTCTTATACTTCCGAGACCATTTCCTGGTCTTATTTTGCTGATTTTCCGCCATTTGGATTCTGTGGCAATATCCACGCATTGGTTACGGCGATCCATATGCTGAAACAATCTTTCGCTACTCTTAATTTGTCTTTTAACATAGTGGAATTATTACATGCTTAAGTTAGCAGATGATATTTCTCTTTCAATTCACAGATATATATACTGATAAGCGCCCTCCAAAAAAAATCATAATAAAAAAAAAAAAAAAAAAAAAAAAAAAAAAAAAAAAAAAAAAAAAAAAAAAAATTTTTTTTTTTTTTTTTTTTTTTAATAAATCGGGAGGATAAGGATGGTGATCGTAAGGTCGGGAGTTGGGGTGAATTATCGGGAGCCTCCCGATAAAATCGGGAGGGTTGGCATCTCTGTTGGTAGCTCTGTCATGGCATCTACATTTCACATGTTTTAGTACAGAGCTAATACTCTGTTCAAGTTTCACATGTACAAGTCTGGCTTTTATTTCCATTTTCAACAAATATGTGTATCTGCTATCACTGTAAGAAACTTTTACAGATCGCACAAATTTAGTGTTGTGTCAAATTATGTTGTCACATGAAAATCTGCACTTAATGTATAAGATTTGGGTCTTACAGTAGCTCGTTCTCCAAAATACATGTGGACAATTTATGTTAGGTTGGTCCCAAATAAGACCCTCTTTATTTGGTATTGCCCTATACTGTATGAAAGTTAGCAGGACAATCGCATGTCTGCATCTTTGTGAAAGGAAAGTGATGGTGAAACTTCCAACCCTGAGGACCGTGTACAAAAGATATATATATTTAACTTAATAAAGGTATAAAGTAATGTCATAGTAATTACTTATTGATTAAATTATTAATTTGAAGATTCCTTATACTTCAAAGGCAGGGAATTTTACCGATATCGCTACCACTGCTGTAATGTATGTTCGATTGCATCATCTTTCTGTGAAGGCGTACCTGGAGCGAATTCCGGTTTCACGTCAGGACATTGTAGGCAGTAGATGGCAGTATATACGAGGTAGTATAAGAACAATACGCTGCTGCTTTAGAAACCAAATTTTTTAGACACACTATGTTTACATGGATATAAGTGACATTGTATAAGTTCCAAATGTGGTGCACAGAATAAAAATTTTGTTGAATAGATCCAGTAAGAAAGTACATTTTCCTTGGTGTAGAAATGCCATATTTGGCAAATTTCCCTACAATTCATAAATTTGTTTACTAAACCAGTCACAAGTGAAGTCACAAGTGACTTATCAAGTGATTTAGATTAAAGGTAAAGACCAGTTTCGGAAATGCCCCCCTCTCAAAAAATTAAATGAAAGCTCTCATTACCAATCATGTGAAAGAGTATATTTTGAATACATGATGATAAAAATTTTGCCAGGAAACCGCCTACTAATTGATATATTTGGTAAATTAGTTTATCTATTTGTACCTGATAGATATAACGCACATGTGCGTAGTCCAATATACATCTTTCTGTGTACAGTGCTTGTAACTTTACAAAGACTGGGCCAAATTTCTTATCATTTTGATGATTCCAAAACCTTGCAGTACACACCAATACTTATATGCTAGATGACCAACCTTTTCTGATCGATTCCACAACGTTTCTGTCACAATGCAATCGCATGACCATAACTGGTCTTTATCTTTAAACCTACCAAAACAAAGATAGGCAAAGAGGATGGATGATGTTTCATGTGTTCTGAGGGTCTCGTTGACTGGCAGAAAAATATTCAACATTTCAAATAATATGTGCCTTTGGTCTGATTGATAAAGTGATTCATGAGTGGGGTAGTATCGAGGTGAAAGGCAATAACTGTGTTTGTATTTTGTTTTCATTGTTTAACAAGCATTGTATATAAATATGTATTTATTCTTATAAAAAGCTATTTTATTTCTCTATATAGCCTGTAAATGCTGTATTTATAAACCTTGATACGTGTGCACCTTGATGCATGAGATTGAATGTAACTTTTGTAACATAATCTAATCATGAATCACCATTTAGAATGCAATTTAGATGTATAAATGTAAATAAATTCTTCATCTTGACTAGCTTATTGAATGTAAGTATAGAAAGGTTTGTTTTGACTTAAAGTACCGGTACTGTAGAATTGGATCAAGCGGAACAATAATGGAAAGGTTTTTGACATAATATTCTATCGTGATCCATAGGAGTGATGCAAAGTAGCAGACCCGTTTATCATTTTCTGTATGATGGTGAATAGTATAAGGTGAAACGGTTGCCATCATTCCTGAGGAAGAAACAATTACACAGTAGGCCTGTCTCCATCAGCTCGAGGTTGCCGAATAACCTGTTATTTGAACTATCCCGATCGCAAATTAACCAGTTGATTTGCGTCTTCATCAGCCCGCAGTTGCAATTAACGGGATGTTTGGTCGAGTAAATATCCAGAAAAATCTTGGTTTCCAAAATAGCCCACTACTTTCCAAAATATCCTGCTATTTGTGAAATAGCGAGCTAATTTGCGCCCGTCCGAGATAGTTTGTGATGAGCATATTGGTCTGGTGAAGACTCAATTTCGAGCTTCAGGATAATATCCCGAGTCTGAAAATAGCGGGTTATGTGGCAAACTCAAGCTGATGAACACAGGCCTAGTATGTACATATACATATATCAAAGCACCCCTTTCTGCAAGTGAGTTGTCTCTGATTGGCTATATATATAAAGTGAACTTCGGTGGCATTACAAGTATATTGTAACTGATCATGTATTCTTTTTGTTTTATACTATCTTGTGAGATGCTTATACATGTTTTTATATTTAAAGAGAGATGTTGCAAAAATAAAACTTGCATTTGATACTAAACATTTTAACTTATTACATGTTGTCTTTTAGTGCAATCATCAGTGTGTGATTTGTTTCGGATGTGGATTGTGCTCTAGTTGTGGGGTACCGAATGTTGGATATTTGGAAGACCAAATATTGCAGCGTGTTGAGATGCTCTTGAATTTATGGAAATGAATGAACACAATACAACTAGATCATGTGTACACTACTACTGCATGTAAGTCTTGGCTTACAACCTTGAATGTTCCGAGTCCCACGATCGTATCCTAAATTTTTACTGCATTTTGATTGATGGTAAAAGTGACTTGTAAATAGGCTACCAGTAATTGACACACTTGCATGACATTTTGGGAAGGGGGAGGTGGGGGGGGGGGGCACATAACACATGATGTTTTTAAATCCCTTCTTTGCTCTGAACTAAACAAGTTTTATTAAGATAAACAATTTTCTGTTATTTTTTGTTTTTTGGCTTGTTAACCCTAAGAAGATAAAAAGAAGAATAATGATAAAGTAACCGTACAAATTTACTTGTAGGCCAGTGCCCCAAAACACAGGTTTGAAATCAATCAAGATCATTGTTACATGCACGTAATGATTAAAAGGTTGACCACCGGCCAATCAGAATTGTTATAAATTTAAAAATTGATCGCAAATCTTTGTGTAATGGGGCCCAGGTAAAGAAAATGCTTACCTCTTTTCTGTCATAACTCCATTTTGCTGATACTCTCAAAACCTCAACATGGCCTTTCTCAATTAATTAACAAAGATTTGGTAGCCCAACTAAAGGGTGCAGCTTTTCCTACTCAAATTTTCCCAACTGCTCATTTCAATGATAGCAAAGCATCCATGACACCCCTATTACAATAGGCTGTGCTTTATTGGAAAATTTTAAGATACAGGATCAAATTCTCTTTAGGCCTGACTTCATCCGCTTGAGTTTGCCAAATAACCCGCTATTTTAACCATCCCGATCCAAAATTAGCCAGTTAAATTGCGTCTTCATCAGCCCGCAGCTGCAATTATTTGGTTGAGAAAATATCCCAAGAAATCTTGGTCTCGTTTCCAAAATATCCCCCCTATTTGGCAAACCTCGAGCTGATGAAGCCAGCCTTATGTAGTTGTTCAATTTCAAACAGCCTGCTAGAAAAATGGAACAGTTTATTTTTTAAGTACTTAACTGCATTTGTCAAATAAACAAACAGAAACAAAACAAATGACATTCATATCTCATATATCTAAAATATATATTTTTTTAATTAAGTGTTCAGATTTTAATCTGAGAATATATTGCTTGATTATGTACATATACATACATGTCAATCACCTTGATATCTTTAAGACAATCTTTTTTTTACATACTCTGTTTCACAAATGTATACATTGTATGCATGTATGCATACTGGAATGGATTTTGAATGCACTACAGATTTTGCCTACATTGATTGAGATTACCCTACTGACTTGAGAGTAGTCAAAGTGGTGGTAATTAGTTGCACCCCTCAATTATTGTTATTTTGGGGATTACCATTATCATTATTGGTGATATGGGACCAGCATTACTTTGCTCTATATTTCCATTCTATCAATATAATAAAAATTATTTGTCCATGATAATTTCTTTATTAAATATCATTAATTACTTAGAATAAACAGGTCTTCATCCAAGTACTGCATTTTAATCAAAACATGAACTAAACACTAACTAAAAATTAACAATTACTTAAATCAACCTTACATAAAAAACAAAGCTGTTAATTACAAATACAACTTCCAATTTGATAGTGAAACTAATGCTGAAAAAAAAAGGGAAAGAAACACACTATTTTTCATAGATTTCCATTTTCTGTGATCATGATCCGTGAAAGTAAGTATTTGTACATGAATCGTTGATCTGAAGAAAAATAATGACCCAACGTTTCAACCTGAGAAAATGATATCCAGAGTGATAGATCAAAATCATTTTATATTTATAAAGAATACAAGATGAGAATGGCATCTTTTTCTTTTCAATAGTGCTACTGGGTTTGGTATGGCTAATGGATCCAGGATACCTTGACCGAAAAAAAACATTGTTCTGACACATACATGAAACAATTGAATTTCTAACTTCAACCCTAGAACCTGCACTGCACCTAACCTTTAACCTTACCCTAAACCAAATCGCAACCCTAACCCTCTTAACCACATATCTTTGACAAAAATAAATTCAGATTGAGCAAATGTCGCCAGAATGTGTGTTGGCTCACCCCCCAAAAAAATTGCTGACAATTTATATTTTTTTAATGGGCGAAGGGGGAGGGGCACATGAATCCTCATTTGTATACCTTTGGATTCGGGTTTTTTGGGGGGTTGAGGGATACATGTATCCTGTGCCCCCAACCCCTCCAAGATCTGCAGCTGACTATTCCTCACATAGCAGACAAAAGCAATGTGATATTCACTCCCCTATTGAATATGCCATTTAAAACCATAACAAATTCATGAATACTTTTATTTGAATAAAAATGACTACATCCAGCACACTTAATATGAATTCTTATTAAAAGTAACAGTATGTACTTCATATGCAATCAAATGTCCAATTAAAAAAAGTACTCTTTCCATAAAAAAGAACATTTGAATTCATGTTTTGAGACATTTTAAGGTCCCCATTGGGCTATGCATGATCGCGCCTCAGTACTCCTAGGACAGCTAATTAAAATGCTTTAATCCTCCTATCGACACTTGATATAATATTATAAAGTTCATGGAGGGATTTGTTATTTTAAAAAAAACATTGCAACTGAATACATGGAACTTTCAATCCATCAATCAATAAAATCACAAATAATATAATAATATTATAAAGTTTATTGTGTGACCTTTTAATTAAAAAAAAAACCCATTGCGAATGAATACATGGGACTTTGAATCCAAATTTCTGATAACACAAGCCGGTTGTGATCCACAACAGCAAGTATGCCGATTGTCACGGAGTAGAGAATTTATAACCTTTTGGAAAATATATGCACCTGATCCCACCTGCAACAGTAGGTCCATGGAGGGTTGCACCACACTTGCTCCTGCGACGACTACTCCGCGTAAGAAAACTGAATTCTGTACTTCAGCCCTGGACCCAACACTCAACCTAACCCTCATCCGTGCCCTAACCCAAAACTCCAATTTTTCTAACCCTAAATTCTGACGAAATAAAACTTGCAGCTGCTGTCCCTGCAGCAGATGTGGCCTGGGACCGTTTCACAAAGCCTTTTTTCAATGACAAATGACTAAAATCAGTGACAAATCTGCTGATAACCAATCAGAAGCAAGGATTTCAGTAGCTTATAACAAAAACTGTCATTTGTCACTGATGACAAGTTTTGTGAAACGCCCCCCTGGACACCCTATAGAGAGATGGACTAGAGAGGTTTCTCCACAGTGTGTATATAGTAGGCAGGGTGGGCCACCTCGCTAGGTTTCTTGAAGTCGGCGAGAAGGTCGTGCCCGCACTTGGCGCCAAAGGCTTCCTTCAGGAGCTCTGTGAATGCGTTCAGCCGGTGAGGGTAGTAAGACAGACGGAACCTGCAGGCAAGGTAAAAAATCTGAAATATTTATCAGGGTTCATGCTGGCATTGCACATACCCCATGACCGTATGAACAGTTGCAACAACGTAAATTAAACATTAAACAATCATGTCCTTTCATGTTCTGTGTTTCACTATTTTTTGGGTAAAGATAACAAAAATCATTTAACCCCCCCCCCCCCAAAAAAAAAAAAAAAATTACTTAGATTTTGAGTATGTTGTTTCTGATGTCAAACACTACCGGAAAGCGTTGAACAGCCTTTTGTAGCTATAATTCTTTTCTGAGGGTCTTGATAATAAGGATTAATGGTAAATGGCACTGACATGTCAAACCTATGACCTCCCGGTAAATACAAGACCATGTCTTTACCACAGAAACAAATTTCATGTTGCCAATTTAAAGGATAATAAAAACAATGCTTCCATACTGATTCCCCATTGCTCACTTCATGATAGGTTGGACGGGCTCAAACTCTAGTTTCTTCTTCGGCATGTTGATCCCCTTCTTGATGATATCCTCTTTGGCAACGTTGATGTCGATGAAGTAATCCAGCGTGACCATGGACGGTCGGCCATTGATGTACAAGGTGGAAGTCTGGATGTCCTTAATGCAGTTACCCTATGATAAGATGCAAAGAGTTTGAAGAGAGACAATGCAAATGAATCATTTGCTGAGCGCAAGAAGGATGTGAAATTACATGCCCTTAGATGCAGTGGCCCTCGGATAAGACAGGGAGTAAGAAATTGTTCTCAATTGAAATTGGGATTGAAAAATGAATTGTCTGCAGAGGGACTGCAAAGAATGTATACCGGTAGGTGGAAAACATATCAAATGCTTCTCTGCATGAGCCCTATTTAGTCTTAAAAAGGGTCTTCTAATACCCACATTGCCAGTGCATTATGGAATGCATTTTGTAAAGCACAGATTTTCAGCTGAGGGACCTATATTCACTTGAAAGAATGTTTAAGTGGAAAGAATTTATATGTGGACAAAATATATTAAATGCTTCCCTAAGCCCTATTTAGTCATCAAAAAAGTCTTCTAATACCCACATTGCCGGTGCATTATGGAATACATTTTGTCAAGCACATTCAAACTCTGCTAATATACAACATGCTTAGAATGCTAGATCATCACTTCACCGTACAAACATTACCGTAAATCTCCATGTATAAGGCACACTTTTTTGCCGCCGAAAAAATTTGTAAGTCGGGGGTGCGCCTTATACACAGGTACAGAAATTTTTTTTTTTTTAGTTTTTTTTAAGTTTTTTTTTTAGTTTTGATTTATGGCGCTATGCCTGGCAATGTCTCCCAGCTCAGTAATCAGTGTGTTGACTCACCATTCGGAAACTACAACAACACTCAAATTTGTCTGTCATCTTGGTTTGAAAGTAATCTTTCTAATAGATCTCAATATGTAGTTTATAGTAATAATTCCTCAATTTTTTTTTCTATTCATATCATGCATAACTATTGATGTTTGGCATAGAACACAGTGCTTTTGCTAGGTGATGTGATGAGGCTGGTGTGGGACACTTGGTATCATGAAGCCTTAGAGTCTGGACCTGTTTTTAATTTACATTAATGATCTTACACATTCTTCTACAACGACATTGTTACTATTATTTGTGAAAAGTTCACAACTTCAACTGCACCTCGATGTAAAATGAAGGTCCTCCCCCGCGTGGGTTTTTCGGCATTTAAAAAAAATAAATCTTTATTTAAAAAAAAAAAATATTTGTTTTGCCCCCAAAATAGGGGTGCGCCTTATATACAGAGATTTACGGTATTTGTTTTAAATGTTGTACATTGGGGCCATCAAGGAAACCTGTTACCTTCGTGCAAGAAAGTCTACAACACATGTGGCCATAAAAGCCTCTAATACTCACATGATAATAGATATTTTGAACAGGAGCACGGCCTGTGTCTAAGATTGAATCGTAATTCCTATGGTCGATGACCATTATGCCACCGGGTCGAAGGAGGTCTGCAAAGTTCTTGAGGGCCAAGCGCTGGTTGGAGAGGTTCCCCTCAAAGTCTGGCAGGTTGGCAAAGGAGTTACCCAGGCAGATGACTGCATCGAATTTGCCTTCTTGCGATGGGAGATCATCGGGAAGTGTCAACCAATTGGCAACCTCGATTTCTGTTGGATCAGAACAAAAAAATAATGAAGCACTATGGCTCTATTCAATGTATCAATTACATCCCTTTTTTGGGGTGAAACAAGCACTTACATGTAAGTATCTCTTTGGCACCCTCTCTTTATCTTCCTTCATCTGTCTCTTATTCCCTTACACTGTTTCCTCTATAATTCCTCTTCTCTTTCTGTTTCTCCCCCTCTGTATATTTTCTTCTCAAATATTCATTCTTTTGCTCTTTTAGCCCCGTCTTTTGATTCTCGTCTTACGGAAATTCTTACAGAAAGGAGGCATAGGGCAACTAATATATCGTCTCTTGAAAGTCGGATCAATTCCATGTTTAAGTATTCTGAATCAGAGGTGAAGCCCTTCCGACTCTCAAATCTCAATACAGGAATAAGATACAACATTAAACAAAAAAATTGTATGAATCATGCAATATTAATGCCCATTTTTTTGCCTCTTGGTAGGCAATATACATCGTACATAATATGAACAACAACAACAATAACAGCAACTAACTACAGGAAAAGAAAAATACAAATCACCTTTATTTTATTTCATCAACTACCGGTAGTCATGTTATAGAGATGTCTTTATCACTGTGACTGAAAGGGTAGTTCTAAGTAAATATGACATCAGCAAAATTTGCCTACTAGTGTGCATGCATAGTTGGAAAACTCATCAAACATCCCAAATCATATTACTTAGTCATCAGTCATGTTAAAAAATGCAAGTCATGGTTGGTCTCAACCACAATATTAGTACACAACAGAATCGTGAAGACAGGGCTATACCTTCAGATCGAATCAGATGGCTAAAGCCAACAAGAGACCGACAGCCCAGGAGACCAGTGAGGTGTTTCACAAAGACTAAGATCAAATTTAAGTTGGACTTAACTATGGCAGACCGTTCATGGCTCATCCACTGTTTGCTCTCCCCATTTACTGGCATTGGTCTCTCAAGGGATCGACGTACAAATCATGGTCACAAATCTACAGAATTTACATTTTTTGATAATTCATTATTAAAGGAAATAATATTATCTAAAGATCATAATGGTAAGAGCAAACAGTGCCAGTGGCATGAATGACCTGCCATAGTAAAGTCCAACCTAAAGTCAATCTTAGTTTTTGTGAGACAATCCCAGCAATGTCAGTTTTGTGGGCCTCCTGAGAACTTTTCAAGAGTTCACTTAGTCGGAATACTCACTAGACAGACAAGGTCAGTCTCATGGGCCTCCTAATAACTTTTCTGACAGTTCATTAGACCAACGACCTATAAGACTGACATTTTTAATATTTCGCCTTATGTATTTCATTGCTTTGTTGGCCTTGTGGATCTTTTGGAACTCTCTTTTATGTATCTTAGTACAAATTTCTTAGTTTTGTCTGTGGAAGTTGTGGGCTGTCAGTCTACTGGGTGTTTCACAACTTTAATAGTGGTGGTTATAAGAATTCCATTCCAAACCAAAGAAAAATTCCACAAAAAAATTGCTGATCTGACAATTTCCTCTGAGCTTTTATTTCTTCAAGCATATAAGGTTTTCTTTTGTCAAAGATAAAGTTAAAAACCTTGTAAGTCAGATTATTTTTGGAGCTTTTCGTAACTAAAGAATATAAGGTGGACTGGCTGAAATTAGGGCCTTTGTTGAATACTTTTAGATGTAAGCTTTAATATGTCACATGCTTATTGGCCCTTCTAATGATGTTTTGGTAATTTCGACCACTTTTTGGCCCAAACCGACCATCATGGTCACTTTTGGTTAGGGGTAATTTTTCCAATTGATATTATCAGCAACGAAGATTTGATGTGCCTATTCTATGTAAAGATGCTAGAAAAGGTGGTCAAATTGAGTCTCATAAAAAACAATTGGCAATTAAATGACCATTTCTATTGATTTTTGTCCGAAATCAGGGCAAATTTTCAGTCAGAATCAATTGATGGGAAGGTTTTGACATCCAATACAGGTTGGACCACAATGGTCGTTTCAATCGGAGGCTGGTCGTTTCAATCGGAGGCTGGCACTTTGCGGCGCTGCACTGCCGGTTGAAAAGGCTGAACAATTGGCCCAGCGCGACTTGCTAGTGGAAGTCAAATTAATTGTGAATCCACCGTACATGTACTGAACGAGATAAACATAATTTACAGAAAACCTAGTAGAAATACAATTTCTACGTTGCAAATTAATGAACGTTTGCAATTGAAAACAAAAAAGAAACCGGTCATGAGGCTGAATAGGTCAATGACTGTCCTTCAAATCAAAACAAGTTGTTTGCAGAATGATTACTACAGTCATATGTCTAGACAATAGGTAAACACATCGGCAGAACCCACCATCAACAGCAGGGAAAAAATACACGGGGGGCTCGGGCAAATTTATAGCCCCCGAAATGCCCAAAAGAGCCCCTGAAAGTCATAAAAAAGCCCCCAAAAATTTGCATAGACTTCAATGCAAAAAAAAATTGAAGAGTGTTACTCTCATATGCAAGCAAGCTTGAAAAGTAGCCCACGAAAAAAGAAAAAAAAAAGCTCTACTCCCCATATATTGAATCGATAGTACTAGCAGTTTGATATCTGGGTTTTTTTCCTGGCAAATTGATCAGTATTATTCATAGTTTGCAGGCACAAATCCTTGTCAGTTGGTGAGCATAACAGTGTCTGCACTGTGAGACTAGCATACTGCATATATACGGTAGGCTTTGAACTGCAGCTGCCCTGGACAGAGCCAGAGACTGACAGTTTAGAGCTATAGGCTCTGCTCATCGCTTTAGAAATTACAGTATAGTGTCAAATCAAAGTCTATGCCTCCAGTCTACATCATTCTCAAGGCTGATCACATCCCAACCAGTTTAAACGTAGTACAAACTTTTGGTAATATTTCAACAGGATTGGATTATGAAATTAAAAATTTGCACTACCATTGTGAAACCTAGTATTAGAATATAAGCAACTTTGAAATAATTAGGCTCTAAAACGCTAAGAATTTAGAGAAATTAAAGTATCATATTTATCAGTGCTCCCGATAAATTTCAAATAGTGCCTACGGCCGTACAACTAGCTGCGACCATGAAAATCTTGGAATATGCAGTTCTGATATTTAATTTTAATTAATTTCCAAATGGGAATGGAAAATTTATCAATTTTAGTCAAGAAACATTGTTTTGAAGCTAAAGCAATATCAATCTTGAAGAGTTTATTATTCACAATTTGATCACTTTAGACTCAATTTCAACCGCGACAACGATCATTGAATATTGTAGGATCGCATATGCTTCCAATATGTCTATTTGAACCAAATTCATGACCCTATACCAAAACTTGTATAGTACCTTTAATACCTCAATCTGTAATTTGTTTTAATCTATTTTACTTGAAAGGGCAACCCTTGGCCTATATGAACAATCCTAAAAACAAATACACCAGTTAAGAGTGACCATGTTTTGGCACACACTCTTCTGAACTATTTGACTGTGCAAAAACATATGGCGCAAACCCCTCCCTATAACAGAGCTGCCAACCTTGGGCGACCAAAAAAGGAACCATGATGGCAAAAAAAAAAGGAATTTCAAGCCAAAAAAAGGACTTCATTAAAATGAAACTTACAACAACGTGCGACACACTGCAGAAATGTCCATTCCTCATGCTGTTTTTTCATACAAGCAGGTATTTTTTTGTGGTTATTTGGTATTATTCTTATTGGCATTTCATTCTTTTTGAGAATATTTTTCTCTTCAAGTATGTTTTAAACTTAGTTTTCTTTTGAATTTGTGATCAAATCAACATTTTAGGGCAGTTGTTTAACGTGCATTATGTACACACACAAACAAAAATTAAAAACATATTTTTATAAAGAAAAAACTGCTACCATAATATGGAGAAAAATACAGAGTAATTCCGGCAAAAATGGAAGGGTTGGCAGCTCTGCTATAACGTATTTCACACACACACCCATCTTGACTACCAGTATTACTTGTATCTCTTCCAAGAACAGATAATTAGTATAAAAATATTTTGTTTGCCTTAAAAGAAAACTGATTGAATGCTGGGAGCACTAAAATCGTTAGCATAATGTAGCTGGAGCAGGGGTAATATTGAAACGCCCTGAGCCAAAATATATCCAATCAAAATAAATATTCATTATAATTGCGAAGGACACAGCATTCTAATTTCTACTCCTCTCAAGATGCTGTTTGGCAAGAAATGTAATTTCATTAATTTCTCATCCATCACTTGAGGGGTACAGCTACATGTATGTCATTAAATTGAAGAAAAACAGAATTTAATACAGTCGTGCCTTAGGGTAATTAATTAGTTCTTGTTAAAATGCTTTGATCTTCAAACAAAATCAGAGTGTCTAAATTAATAAATAATAATAATAATAATGATGGGTTCTTGTATAGTGCTCATGTCAGTCAGATTTGACCCTCCTGGCGCTTGATCCCGATCATTACGCTGGCTTTAGCAAGGCTGCCAAACGGTGCTCTAGTATTTCAAGGAATAAATTCCTACCAGGTACCCATTTACTACACCTGGGAATTATAGTGATAAAACAAATATAGAAAGAGAAGAAATTCTATATTTCTCTTCATTTGATGTTTGTCTTTAATAGTGAGAAGGATCGATGAACAAAAAGTTGCGCTCAACTGAATCATTTTATGCACCGGATAAAGGAGAGTTAAGTCACTACCGTTGTTTCTGTACATTGATCTGTTATCTTCTCATTTGGACGTTACTTCACTAACAGAATGGGGATACATCTCTTCTTATATCTACTATTCTTGTTAGGAAGAACAAGTAATTCACAATGTTTAAATCTCTGTGACTGTGAGCAGAAGGGTTATGTGATCAATGTGGCGTGCACAGGGCATGATCTTGATGATATTCCACAGGACCTGCCATGCAACGTTGGTATACTTGACTTGCGTCAAAACTTCATTGCCACACTGAAAAGAGAGTCATTCTCGTGCCAAAGCCAACTGAGTGAGCTTCTTCTGTCCAATAA